TGAATTCCGCGAGAAATGTTCAAAAACTGCCCCGTCTGTCCATAACAGAAGACGGTCGATATGTCGAACATCTGTATGTAGCAAAATCTCATGTCTTGGTTTGCTATTTATTTTTATTGTTATTAGACAGTTTAAATGTGTTGATGTTGGTTAAATATATTTTAAATTGTTATAAAATTCTGCATATCTCATAGCAAATATTATTTTTGTTTTAATTGATGCTCACAGCTAAAATTTTTTTGCATTACAACCGGTGCCGTTCAAAGCCTACTTATTTAAAGCGGGCGAATTTTTATATACTCTATATCTCGAAGAGGAATCGAGCAAAATATCAAGTGTGTTATATTTTTGGAAAGGTAATTTTAAATTCTTTTCAATAAATTAAAAATATACAGCGTGTCCCATATAAAAAATCAAATTTTCTGTTGATAAATCTTAAATTATTAATTTTAAAAAAATTATACTTAAACCATTAAATTCTACGTAAAAAGGTGCTTTGGAAATGTTTTCATAAAAATACAAAATTTTCCATAGCAAAAAAGTTACAGCGATTTGTTAAAAATGCATATTTTTGAAAAACACCCCGTAACTCCGAAACGGTACCAGATATCGATATGCGGTTTTCACCATCATGTTTTTGACAAAAATTGAGCTCCAGACACCGATATTAGTTTTTGTCTATCTCCTATAGAAAAGGGTGTTTCCATTTAAACGCGTCGAATTTGACCCACCCTGTACAAACCTCCGGCAGTCCCATGGCCACCACAAGTTCTACTACCATTGCAACATCCAGATGGATGATGTTCATCTATGTAGGTGATTTGACTGAAATACAGAGATAACGATGAAAATGGCGAGGCACTTGTAGATTGGGCGGATGTACCTTGTATTTGACGCAAAGGATAGAGATTCCTTTTTTTCGGCGGCCTGGAAACGTGGGTATAATCCGGATCTTTGCTTCGTGACCACAGACAAAGATAACATACCACCAAGAACATCTCGTAAAATCCTACCAGACTTTCCACATAGCCAACACCGACCTGCTTTAATATTATTTATATTAATTAATAGAGATTGGAATAACTATACCCTTGGTAATATCTTTCCCTCGACCACGGTGGAATTTTCAGAGAGCAAACTGGGAAATGTTCTCTAATAGTCTGGATAAGTGCCTGAGGTGGATCCCTCCTAGAGCAGATTCATACACGAGATTTGTAGCGGCGGTCGTAAGCTCCGCAAAGAAGGCCATACCCAGAGGATACCGCAAACAATATATCCCAGGATGGGACGAGCAATGCGAAACCCAATACCAGGCATTTCTCGCTAGCAACGACCAGGAAATTGCCGACGGGTTGCTACACAGTCTTAACGCGGCCCGTCGAGGACGATGGGTGGAAACCGTTCAGGCATTGGACTTCAAGACTTCTAGTAGAAAAGCATGGTGTCTTTTAAGAAAACTAAGTGACGGCAACAAGAGCGCCCACAAAGACACATCAATACCTCCAAACAAGATAGCCTCCCATATATTGTCAACCTCGAAAGCTCCGAGAGATAGAGCTCACACAGCTCAGATTAGGCGCATGCTCACAGCGCTAAAATCTACTTGTGACGACCAAACGGAATTTTCCCGGCCATTCTCGTTAGACGCAATAACCATTACTCTCAAGGACGTAAAACCGGGAAAGGCACCTGGATATGACGGAATCCACCCAGAGTTCCTACTGCACTGTGGAAAATATGCAAGAAGCTGGTTAGCAAAATTCTTCACAGATATCATAACACACAGCATAATACCTCAACAAATGAAACGCTCAAAAATCATCGCCCTATTGAAGCCAGGAAAGCCGAGCGATGAACCGAAAAGCTATCGCCCAGTGGCATTGCTGAGCTCAATCTATAAGCTCTTAGAAAGACTTCTGTATAACCGCATCGCCACCAAAATAATGGAAACAGTTCCCATAGAACAGGCCGGGTTCCGCCCTGCGCGCAGCTGCACAGATCAGGTTATGGCACTAACAACATACAGAGAAGCTGGCTATCAAAGAAAACTTAAAACTGTAGCTATTTTTATAAATTTGTCTGCAGCCTACGACACTGTCTGGAGACATGGCTTACTATACAAACTCGGCCAAACAATCCCTTTTTTGAGAACTCTCCGACTTATAGATAACATGCTCGCTGACAGAACATTCCGGATGGTAATGGGAGAACAAACAAGTGCCCAAAGGATCCTAAATAACGGTTTACCACAGGGCTCCGTCCTGACCCCATTGCTGTTCAGCTTGTATATCGCTGATATGCCTCACACATCCTCCAGGAAGTTTGGATATGCAGACGATTGGGTCTTGGCGACGCAGCATAAGAACTTTGAGGTAATGGAGGCAACTTTGCCGTCTGACTTGGTGACCTTAAGTACATATTTCCGTAAATGGAGACTGCAACCAAACCCTACAAAAACCAAAGCGACATGCTTCCATCTCTGTAATAAATCGGCAGGCAGACGACTTGACGTCCGTTTCGAAGGAAATCGACTCCAACATAACGAGTATCCAAAGTATCTTGGAGTCACATTGGACAGAACGCTCACCTATAAGCGGCATCTGAAAAACACTGCAGCCAAATTAAAGACGAGGAACAATATCCTTCACAAGTTGTGTGGTACTACCTGGGGATCCTCGGCTGACACGCTCCATACATCAGCTCTTGGACTGGTTTACTCAACAGCAGAATGCTGCGCCCCGGTCTGGATGAATAGCGCTCATACGAAGAAAGTCGACGTGCAGCTAAATAACACGATGCGAATTGTCAGCGGGACTATAAGAACAACCCCAACACATTTTCTGCCTATCCTGAGTCATATTCCACCTGCGCATCTGCGTCGGGCAATGCTCTCCTCAGGGAGTACAGGAAGGCAAACAACAACCCCCAGCTCCCTATACATCATGACATACCTGACTTGGAGTTGACCCAACAATAAAAACAACCAAGGAATTACATAACATGGGCTTTAGTCTAGTAGAGTCCTGGAAAGAACAATGGCGAGAGGCATGTCCTGAGCACTGTCAAGCTCTCCCCTGCATCACCAAAAAACCGCCTGGGTACCAGCTGCCTTGCAAAACATGGTCATCCCTCAACAGAATACGCACGAACCACGGAAGATGTGCAGACTCTCTTCACAGATGGGGTAAGATACCATCACCCAGATGCGACTGTGGAGCCGACAGACAAACCGTACGCCACATAGTGGAGGAGTGCGAGATAAGAGCTTACGGTGGAAACTACTCCGATTTCCTGACTGCTGATGACGCTGCAATAGACTATATACGTAATCTTGACATTTGTATTTAATCTCACTGTATTTGTCTCCTGTTGCGCGTATTTTGTTTGTGATACACCGTGTTCTTTTTATATTTATATATTTTATATCTTATTGTATTGTTTATATTTTACGTGTATTATTTTGTAATATCTGTTAAACGATGTGCTTGCCATACGATAAATAAATAAAATAAATAAATAAATAAATATACATTAGTGATCCATGAGTAAGGTGCTTTACTTGAATTTTAGGTGTATTAAAAAAGAAGGCTAGATACTAGATCAAACTAGACTAGCAATGCCTTAAACATACATCAAAATGAATAATAGTGCATGCTCCTGACCGTATTATACGATTGATAATATATATTGTGTGTCTATAGATTGACAAAAAAAACAGCGTCTGGCTTGGAAATGAACATCAATTACATTCTCCATATAAATTTACATATAAAATGACAGCGCTCTTCATTTCACAGCCATACCTGACGCAGATTTTTTTTCGATCTCACGGTACCTAGGGTAGAGAACACAATCCGCTTTGCGCATAAACCGATACCGAAATCGTTTTATATAGGTTTTTTGATTTTCATATTATCACGAATCTCTTTTTCTGTACCGATTGAAACCGGTTTTCCGGTGTCGGTTGAAACGTGGTTCAAACCTCACGCCGGATTAAAACATTTTTTACAGCTGTTTTTATTTTTTAAAAATAGCTGTATAGTGATTTAATTGCGTTGGTTTCACTCTTTTTGGTGGTGTTTGTTGCGTTGGTTAAGTTGGTTACTTTGTGGAGTTAATTGCGTTGGTTAGGTTAGTCATTTGGTGGGGTTGGTTTGGTTTTTACTAATTTACATTTGTTTAGCGTTGGTTAGTCTCTGGGGTAAGTTTTTTTTGCTAACCAGTCAGCCCCCTCTATTTATACATGGTGCCGTAGAACCGCAAAGTATGTTAAAACGCATACCGGAAGACCAAATGTGCCTATTGGAAACATTATAAAGCACTATTTTGATCCTCGTTACCTCCCTCTCAAGTCATTCATAAATTCCCTTTGTTTTATTTAACTCCAAAACAAACTTAAATAAACCACTATATTTAAGAATGTTGTGCCTCATAACCCGAAAAATTATGTAAATATAGGAAAAGTAGGTAATAACACTAACGGAATTAATAGAGGAGAGTTTTGGACAGAAAAACATAAGAGGAGTTGCTTTAGTCAATTTTACAGCTTCTATGATACCCTATACAACAAAACTTTGCTAGTGAAAATTTGTAGGAAGATGATGGACTACACTGGCATGAGGTGATCACACAAATAAACATACGTGCACAGCTTATTCACGCTAACGTCTGTACGCGGCTTTACACGTAAATTGTAGTATATAGGATCTAAAAAGCGAAGATTGAAATTTAAAATACAATTTTGTTTTAAGCGAAAATGTCAAAAGCTGACATGATATGTCATTCTATTCAGAGTGTCATTTTCTATCGAATAAAGTAAAACAATACCGAAGGTGCCATTTAAAAATCAAAAGTTGTTGTAGATTCATGAAAATCCTGACGAAGTACTCTATTTATTGACCAATTGACATTTATGATATAAATACTCGTATATGTCACAAATCGATTTATGCTTGTGTCACATGTGCCTACTTAAAATAACTTTGAAAGGCGTTACTTACTTTTGCCGCCGTGGACGAATAAGGCTCGTCGAACAACGACCACAGTTTCGGTTTGGTGTGCTGCCACCACGACAACGTCCCTTTGAAGTAGTCGTCTTCAAAACCAAACTTCCTAGCTATTTCTTCGTCGCTCGGTTTTTCCGTATCTAAATCTAACCTATCTAAGACAGCTAATGTTTCTTGGGTGTCCCTGTGCTGCAAATAGACAGAAACGTATATGAGAAAAACTTTCCAAACGGATGGGCGCAAGTAAAGTTTCATTTAAGTTGTCGATAATGATCGGAGTTAACTAAATTGAGAATCGATAGTTCGCAGACGCATAAAAACCACAAAGCTATTTCTGTTTGTATCGGTTTAAGTGATTATCTAAAGGTCTATTTTAGAAATATAACTTGCACAGCATTAGATAAAGCGTGTCGGAGTGGGTTCCTAGTTAAATGGAAAACTCGAAAAACTTTGAAAAGCAATTTATAAAGCGCAGTATTATTAGCGGGGAAAGTTCAAACATTATAAAACAACCGCTAAACTAAAAACATTCGAGTTAGGGCAACTTTTCTCTTTAGTTGTAATCGTAAAATTTGTAAACGATCGCGTTGGAAGAGAACTTCTGAAATTCTGAAAATTTCCTTGTATTTTTTTCTTATCAATTTCGTACGTTTCATGATTGACGATATATGACAGGTAAAATAAGTTTAACTTTTCTCTTAGTGGAAAACAAATAAAAAATGCACGTCGATTTAGCCACGTAAACAGAACGTGAATGATGGGTTTTCGTATATTGATTTAAGATTATTTGTTTTAGCAGAAAAATAGCAGCTTATGATAGATTGACTCTTGAGTTCTTTTTTGATCGATATGTCGGTATGCATATTTCTTGCTTCTGTGAGATTCCTTTTGTTTGCCAATAAATATCCTTCAATAATGTTTATGTCAGTAATGACAAACGCAAAATAGTAAAAAAATCATCACTGTAAATAATTATTTAAAATTCGTAACATAATGTCACTTCCCAACCATGTACGTAATATATACAGGGTAAGTTTTCTACGATGTTCTCTCGATGTTACTCGATGGGTATGGGGTTTCTACGTTGTTACTCTATGGGTATCTCGGAAACTACTGGAGATAGAGAGTCAATTAAATTGGGAAAGAACTGCAGTTTTGTGGGGCGCCTTTCAGATTTAGATAGATAGATATAGATAGATAAATATGCGCCTTTCAGATTTTTAAAAAAGTTCATTGCTTACTAGATATTTCGAAAAAAAAACAGACTTCGGCTATTTTAAAAATTGTCCCTAATTTTATTATAACCTAATTTCAGATAAAAGTTGTAGATTATCACATCCCCAATGAGTTTGTTTTCTCCAATTTTTTCTAAAGCCTGTCATTTTGATATATTATGACACAAATATATGTTTTTTTAAATGGAAGCCTTAGTTGGCCATAACTTCACAAAAAGCGCCATTTACTATATACTATAATGTTTTTTTTCGAAAAGTTACGAGTTATAGCCAATTTCTTTCTTGACTAATTTCACTTAGTTGGCATTGTATTCTTATTCTGTTATGATTTATAACCTATAAAAAGACAGAATATATTATTAAACGGTTAAACAATTTACATTGCATAAACTAAAACTTAGAAAAATAATATCACTACATACACTGTAAGTTATTTTAGAAAATGTTCAAAAAATCCGCCATTGTTTTGAATACATAAATGCATCTTTTTAAAACTAAATTACTAGCAATTATCACAGAACCAGCGGTCGACTTAATTAAACTTTTCCCGTACTACCTCTTCGAGTGCCTCTCTTAATTCATACGTTCTTTTGTAAACCTTGTTGTTAACCATACCGCATAAAAAATCTAAAATGATCAGGTGATCGAGGAGGCCCATGCAATTGCTCCACCTCTTCCTATCCCTGAGTTTGCATAATTATGATATAAAGAATTTTTAACATTTCTTTCATTATGGGGGTGAGGAAAGTATGTCATAATGAAAGTCATGTTGGAACATCTCTATTGATGCGCGAGTATCTAAATTATTTAACTTTTTAACATGTCTTGAAAACCGTTCTCTAAAAAACGTAAGTAACATTTACCGGTCAATGTCAAATGTATGGCCAAGAAAAGTTGAACCAATAATCCTACACGCTTTTCTTCATGTGAAAAATTCATATTTACAATTTTTGTTTATTTTAATTTACAAAGTTTGGATGTTACAGTTTTAGATTTCTGAGAGCAACGACGATTGAACTTGTTTCTATTGCTAACTAAGTGAAGTTATTTAAAAATGATAAGAATTGGCTATAACTCAGTAATTTTTCGAAAAAAAAAAACATATTATAGCTTATATCGCTGAAAAGCTTAAAAATGGCGCTTTTATGAAGTCATGGCCATCTATGGTTTCCATTAAAAAAAACATATGTTTGTGACATATGTGAAAAATGACAGGCCTTAGAAAAAATCGGAGAAAACATGCAAACTCATTAGGAATGTGATTATTTATAACTTTTATTTGAAAACTTTTTGTCTAAAATACGAGTGAATTATAATGAAAATATGGACAATTTTTAAAATAGTCAAAATCTGTTTTTTTTTCGAAATATCTAGTAAGCCATGAAATTTAAAAAAAGGCACATATTTATGACCCCACAAAACTGCAATTCTTTCCTCATTTAACCGACTCTTTATCTCCAGTAGTTTTTGAGATACCCATAGAGAACATCGTAGAAAACTCACCCTGTATAATATAAATAAATTTTAAATAAATAGTGATTATTATTCTCCTATAAATAAATCTGTAAGGTCGCGGTGATTAACCCCCTTCCTCAACATTCTACAATTCTCATATGAGACTAGATTGGCCATTGATTAACATCGAGATTAACATTTACCATACTCAAGTCTGGCTGGGGCGTCAGAATTTATAGTCATACTTAGGCATTAATTTTTTTAATAAGATTTGTAAATTTGCGCCAAATTTGAATCATAATAATTATAATTATAAAAACTTGGAATATTCGTACTGAATAATGTATTTTTTCCGTAAAGGAATTTTTGGATTTTTAGATATAATTTAAAAATCTCGATTAAATTTCTCGTTAAGTACTTTTTCTTTTCTATGTTGTTTTTTCCTAACTGGCCTTAAGAGTTGCAGAAGTGTATATATCTGTTTGTAAACGCCAATGAATGAATAAAGATATTATTATTATCATTTATTTTAAACATTTTTTTCACATTCTAGTGCCAAGTTATTTTTTTGAATGTGCTAGTCCATCATTCAGTATTGATACTAAATAATTTGTGACTGTCATTGCAAAATACAAGCTAAATAAGACACTAAATCACCACAATACACCAAAACACTTTTACTTTTACACTGATATTTCACTATTTATTACTGTCATTATTTCTATTTTTATTAAATGATCAACTAACAATTCAGTTCACACATAAAACTATAAGAGTTTCAGACTGCCCTTGTCTGAATGGTAGTCTGCGCAATGGTAGTAAAAATTCAAGGCCGTGACGCGACATGGCCTTGACACCACGATTTAACTGGAAAAAAAACGGTAAGTCAATGAAGTTGAGATGGGTCTTTGGAGGCATCGTAACTCGGGCCCTGTGTGAGCTAAGGGGCTGAAACTGGGAATTTAGATGGGTCTCGATGAACCTCATCTTTTCATGCTATTTTAACAACGTTTTGTGCACTACAAAACCATCATCAATGAATCAAATCAAAAGGTAATCCGATTTAAATAAAATTTGGTATGTCGATAGATTGGACCAAGGTCAACTTGACCGTGTACGACACGTGTCACTGTGACTATGTGTTAGTTTGGACGTTAGAAATGTCGAAAGTTGATGTCGTCCGATTGCGACCAAATTTGGTGGGTAGGCTATGTGAGCGACGGTGCACACGGTCCCACCCTACGACGTTTCGTTTACATCTTCATCAGGATGGGACTAAGGATTTGATATAGAAGAAAAATGTGGGTCGATTTGCGCATAATGTAGTATGTAGAATATTGAGAAGGGGAGTTAATCACTACGACCTTACAGATCTACTAAATGTTCCCCTTTCTTTAGTTATTTCTTCTTCTTCTTTACGTGCCGTCTCTTTTGTGGAGGTTGGCGATCACATTGGCAAAATCTTCACTATTCTCGGCTTTCCTTATGAGTTCTTCAAAAGATAGGTGAGTCCAGTTTCTGATGTTTCTCAACCAAGATAGTTTCTTCCTGCCGAGACCTCTCTTTCCTTCAATCTAACCCTTAACTATCAGTTGTACGTGGTATTTTTCATTTCTCAATATATGCCCTAAGTAGGATGTCTTTCTTATTTTTATTATATTGAGCAAACATTTCTCTGACGATTCTGTTGTAGATTTCAGTATTTGTGATATTGGCTTTAGTTATAACGAGTTATAACTCATCACACAGTCTCAGGTCTTTAACAAAACCAGTATCTAAGACTGCTCCACAGAGGCCAGCATGGCTAAGATAAATTGTACTCATCTTTCGATAGCGTAGATTTCTGCCTGAAAAATGATGAGGTAGGTGCCCATTGATTCGGAGTATTTAGTTTTCGACCCAAATAATCCTATCCCTGTCCCGATTTAGTTTTGTTAGCATCAGTATATTACGTTATGGTATGCAAACGTTTCTCCCTTCCAATCCTTTTTATAACTCAATACTACAGTGAGGTATTTCTCAAAATTGTATATTCTTGGTATGTCATCCATTTGGAGTTTTCCGCATAATTGGGTACGGACTACAGGATGACGCATTCGACGTTTCAAACCGTTCGATGCTTCTAATTTGAAAAAATAATCAGAAATTTTCTTAATAATAGTGGATCAATTGGAACTAAACTCGGCACGTTGATAGAGGTACTCGAATAGAGTCCTCAGACGGACAGAATGACGTAAGAGTTTTCACTTCAAATATGCCCACAGACAAGTATTTCTTTATAGTGCTTTATTTATATTTGTCTATGTGACTTTAATAGAAGATACAAATATATTTGTGTATTAATATTATCAAATTGATCTTGATTGAATTATGTTTAGCTCTATTACTTTCTGCAGTTAGCCTATGTGGCGCAGTTTTACCCTGAGTAGCGTAGTTAGTCTTGAGAAGTAGTTAGTCCCGTAGCGTAGTTAGCCTTGAAGAGTAGTTAGCCCCGTAGTG